ACATTTAATTACTGACCAGTTGTCAGCTGTTATCAGTATAACATAATTTCTTTAACCGATCTCCTATTATAGGATATTTAAAGGTCTTCCTTTCTTCCCATCCTTCCCTTCCTTCTTTCCTTCTTTCTTTCCTTCCTTCCTCTTTCTTTCTCTCTTCCCTTCTCCATTCCTTCCTTTTCATTTCCCTGTTTGTTTTCTCTTGGCTTTCATTGATAACTCTTTGAAAAATATCCTAATGTATGTGTATTTACAAATATGTACATTTAATTCCTGAGGGTAAACGTCTAGAAGGAAATTGGCTGTTCATAGACATAAATTTTTCCAAGACTTTCAAAATGTACTATCAATGTATTTTTTCTATGATTTTTTGGTCTTAAAAGTACTAGGAGCCCCTAAGATATTATACACTTTTATACTATAAATATTGACCTTATATCTGTCATGTTTGATGCAAGCAGTATTCCCAGCTTATTATCTGTTTCTTTTTTTTCTTTTATTTTGTTTTTGGAGTGTGTACTGGGGATGGGGCAGGGATGGGGGTTTCTGTTTTGTTTTGGCATACATGCAGAAATTTTACACAACATAAGCAGTCAAACTGATGAAACTTTTCATTCATGGTTTCCCTTCTACAGTTATATATGAATATTCAACTAAATTTATCCAAGTACTCTTTTTAAATTAATTTTTAATGTGAAAATGTTTTCTTTCAACCCGTTTGCATTTTTGCAAATAAAGGTATTATTTGCTTTTAATAATGTTTAAGCAGTTATCACAACACGATTTATTAAATAACCCATTCTGCTCCACTGATTTCAAATACTGCTTTTATCTTTATCAATATCATACATTTAATTATCACGTGCACTTGGATCTATTTTAGGATCTTCTACTTTGCTCCACTGATCCGTTTCAGTAACTGTACCACACTACTTTAAATATTGTAGCTTTGAAGTAAAGGTTAGTAATTAGTAAAGCAAGTTCCTCATTATTACTCTTCTACAGGCATATGTTGGAGATATTGCAGGTTTGGTTCCAGACCACCGCAATAAAGCAAACATCGCAATAAGGCAAACATCTCAATAAAGCAAGTCACCCAAATTTTTTGGTTTCCCAGTGCATATAAAAGTTATGTTTACACTAAACTGTACTGTGTTAAGTCTGCAGTAGCATTTTGTCTAAAAAACAATGTGTACACCTTAATTTAAAAATACTTTATTGCTAAAAAATGCTAACCATCATCTGAGCCTTCAGTGAGTCCTAATCTTTTTGCTGGTGGAGGGTCAGCCATGCTGATGGCTGCTGACTGGTCAGGGTGGTGGCTGCTGAAGGCTGGGAGGCTGTGACAACTTCTTAAAATAAGACAACAGTGAAGTTTGCTGCATCAGTTGACTCTTCCTTTCACAAGTGATTTCTCTGTAGCAGGCAATGCTATTGGATAGCATTTTACCCACAGTAGAACTTCTGTCAAAATTGGAGTCAATCCTCTCAAACTCTGCTGCTGCTTTATCAACTAAGTTTATGTAATATTCTAAATCTTTTACTGTCATTTCAACAGCCTTCACAGCATCTTCATCAGGAGTAGATTCCATCTCAAAAAACCAGAAACCACTTTCTTTGCTCATCTATAAGAAGCAACTCCTCATCTGTTGAAGTTTTATCATGAGATTGCAGCAATTCAGTCACATCTTCAGGCTCCACTTCTAATTCTAGTCTTCTTGTTATTTCCACCACATCTGCAGTTACTTCCTCCTCTGAAGTCTTGAACCCCTCAAAGTCATCCGTGAGAGTTGGAATCAACTTCTTCTGATAATGTTGATATTTTGACCTCTTCCCATGAATCATGAATGTTCTTAATGGCATCTAGAATGCTGAATCCCTCTCAGAAGGTTTTCAATTTACTTTGTCCAGATCCATCAGAGGGATCACTATCTGTGGCAGCCACAGTCTTACAAAATGTATTCTTAAATAATAAGACTTGAAAGTTGAAGTTACTCCTTGATCCATGGGCTGCAGAATGGATGCTGTGTTAGCAGGCATGAAAACAACACTGATCTCATTGTACGTCTCCATCAGAGCTCTTGGGTGACTGGGTGCATTGTCAATGAACACTAATATTTTGAAAGGAATCATTTATTCTGAGCAGTAGGTCTCAACAGTGGGCTTAAAATATTCAGTCAACCATGTTGTAAACGGATGTGCTGTCATCCAGGCTTTGCTGTTCCATTTCTAGAGCACAGACAGAGTAGATTTAGTATAATTCTGAAGGGATTTAAGATTTTCAGAATGTTAAGTGAGCTCTGGCTTCAACTGAAAGTCACCAGCAGCATTAGCCCCTACCAGTAGAGTCAACCTGTCCTTTGAAGCCAGGCATTGACTTCTCCTCTCTAGCTATGAAAGTCCTAGATGGCACCTTCCAGTAAAAGGCCATTTCATCTACATTGAAGATCTGTTGTTTAGTGTAACCACCTTCATTAACGATCTTAGCCTGATCTTCTGGATAACCTGCTGCAGCTTCTACATCAGCACTTGCTGCTTCCCCTTGCACTTTTACATCACGGAGGCAGCTTCTTTCCTTAAACCTCATGAACAACTTCTGCTAGCTTCAGACTTTTCTTCTGTAGCTTTCTCACCTCAGCCTTCACAGAATTGAAAAGAGTTAGGACCTTGCTCTGGATTAGGCTTTGGCTTAAGGGAATGTTGTGGCTGGTCTGATCTTCTCTCCAGATCACTGAAACTTTCTCCATATCAGCAATAAAGCTGTTTCACTTTCTTATCATTTGTGTGTTCACTGGAGTAGCACTTTTAATTTCCTTCAAGAACTTTTCCTTTGCATTCACATCTTGGCTCCTGTTTGGTGCAAGAGGCCTAGATTTTCACCTATCCTAGCTTTCGACATGCCTTCCTCACTAAGCTTAAGCAATTCTAGCTTTTGATTTAAAATGAGACGTGCGACCCTTCCTTTCACTTGAACGCTCAGAGGCGATTGTAGGGTTATTAATTGGCCTAACTTCAATACTGTTGTGTCTTGGGGAATAGGGAGGGTGAGGAGAGGGAGAGAGATGGAGGAGTGGCAGGTTGGTGGAGCAGTCAGAACACAGACGTTTTTCAAGTTCATCACCTTATATGGGCAATTTGTGTCCCCCCCAAAACAATGACAATAATAACATCAAAGATCACACATCACACATCACCACAACAAATAAAATAATAATGAAAAAGTTTGAATTATTGTGAGAATTACCCAAATGTAACCCAGAAACACAAAGTGAGCAAACACTGTTGGAAAAATGGTGTCCACAGACTTGCTCGATACAGGGTTGCCACAAACCTTCAATTTGTAAAGAATGCAGTATCTGCAAAGTGCAATAAAACAAGGTCTGCCTGTAGTTAAGAATTTCCTATTCCCACAAAATCATTCAACCAGGTAAATTTTAGTATCAATGTATTGAGTTACCCTCATCTTGACTTTAACTGGGTCATATTGTTTGAGTAATAGTAAGATTAATGTTACAAGATTATTTTTAAATGAATGACCATTGCATGCCTTGAGGAAACCACACTTGTTTCTGTGTTGTACATTTATGCTACGTCTAGACGGGGTTTGTTACTATTTTAGATTTTTACCTCTTTATTTTAAAATGAAATTACTTCCTTTTTATATTTTGGTATAAGAGCATTTATAAAGTAAATTAAACTCTTTTCTCTGTTCTCTAAAACATTCAAACTTGAAGATTCGATTTTAAAATGCCCCTAATTATCTAGGCCTATGGATTTCTGAAGACAGAAGGCTTTCTAGGATAGCTTATGATAGGGGCTTAGTGTGTCTGGGAAGGACATATGGTCACCCCAGTCCAGTTCCCTACAGATCCTAAAGGGGACATGTGGCCCCAGTGGTTCCCATGGTTCCATGCAGAGGAGCCAAAGGTGAGAGAATGGGCAGGAGCTGAGGGGCTGCCCTGGCCAAGTGAGGTGATGCCCCTCGCAGAGGGGGTGGAGGGCAAGGACCACCGGTGAGTTCAGAGGGAGACCTGATTGTCCCAGTCAAGATGGAGGTGGAAGGAGGCTGAACCCCACCCCAGGAAAACCACACACTGCATCCACATGAGGCCACCACATGGACAGAGGCCACCACCAGTGGACGGAACAGGCCATCCAGGAGGAGACCAGGGAAGCCTGCACACCACAACAGCAGACACTTGTTCCTCTTTACATCACCCGAGCAGAGTGAGGTCTGCAAAGCAGGGAATGCAGCACCCCAGAGCCAGACCAGGCCAGTTTCACGGGTTTTGGCCTTAAGAAGAGGGCTTAATCCTTTCCCATGATTGAAATATCTGCACACGTGTGACCTCTGCCATCCTATGTTTTCCATTTCTATTTCCTTTTTCTATTATTATGAAACATTCTTATTTCTCTCCCTGTCCAGACTTCAACTGAGAGTTGAAACAAGCTCTGCTAGAGATTGTGTTCCTTCCTCACCAAGTCTTTTCCATCCAAGTAAAGAGAGAAGATAGATTTGGGTTGGTCAAATGAGAAGCCCCTTTGTCCTGGGGAAGGGATGGGAGGTGGCAGCAAATTCACCATGCAGCACCCCTTTCTCTGGGGGCAGTCCTCCCTCGGTGCCACCCCACTGCTAAACTTCCACGCACACTGTCCACCCCACGTGGGAGTGAGAGCCAACCCCCCCCCCACTGGCATAAGGAGCGTTTCTCACCTACTGCCTTTCTGCTGCAGTGGTTCTCAACCTGGCGGCACATTAAAAGGCCCACTGCCCAGGCTGACCCCAGACCAATTAAATCAGTAGCTCTGGCAATGGGACCCAGACAAGGGGGAAATTTTAAAAATTTCTCAGGTGTTTCCAATTTCCAAAGGAGGTTGCGAACCACCAGACTCATGGCCCTCTTTCCCTCCATTTCCTTTGACCAGAGCCCGGGAGTGTCAAGGAGCTCCTGGGGAAAGGGAAGAGCGTGGTGGCGGGTCAGCGGGGGGGGGGGGGAGGTTCTTCTTCCCCTGCAGGTGGGAAGCTCCTTCCCAGGTGGTGCTTCCAGGTAGGCCAGCATTTTAAAATCTGGGCCCCCTTCACTATTATCTCTAGAATCTACCTGATGTTTCTAGCATGTAGATGGCTCCTTCCATGACAGACGCCCCCATCCCACCCCAAGTCTGTATATTCCTCTTGTCATAATGATGGTAATTGGGAAGTAGAAGGATTTAAATAGGGGGCCCAGTTCATGATCTTGAATATGAACAGAATAACCTTCAGTGATTTCAAAACATTGGGGATTTGTGCGTTTCCAAGCAGAACTTTCCATTTTCCTTTGGAAATACAGCTCCTATCTGGGTGGGCAGGGGGGCTGGGAGCTGGGCACTGAAACCCTACAGCAATTCAAGCCTCTGAGTCAAAGTCAATTTTATTAATGAATAACTGTTTCCATGTGGTCTATTAAAATGATTAGTATTCTTTTATCATTTCTCCCACTGTCAGTTTTTAACAGAGACGGAGTCAGGTGCCAAAGCACATAGTGGTCTTGGGAAGCATTTCCTTGAACACAAAATAACAGTGCTAGAAGGGTCTCTGGTGGTCTTCAGTGAACCCTCCTCTTTTTGAAGACGAGGTCACAGCAGCCTGGCCTCAGAGCTAATGGCAAAGGCAGAAAGAGATACCAGGGCTCCAGACCCCAACCCATGACCTACCCACCTGATGTCACCTCCTATGTGATCTATGCCACTGCTAAGGGTTGCCAAGAAATTTCACAGGCTATCACACTGACTTACAGGGCTAATTGTGTGTGTGTGTGTATATATATATTTTTTCCCCCTCCCATTTACTTTGTAAGCTACCTACAATGACTAAAATAAATACTAAATGGCAGGCATGCACTTATCCCAACCACCACCTATGTGTGCATACGTGTGCACCCCCTGCACACATGCACTGAACAGATCGGGGGTAAGACACATCACTCACTTCTCACTTCATTTATTCCAGGCGAGGGACCATTGCCACACCGCCCACTTTGATTTCCTAAGAGCTCCAAGTGACCAAGCACTCACATCACACTCCATCAGCAAATGAACCCCAAACCTGGCATCTCTCCCGAGACCCCTGAGTGGAAAGCCCCCGGGCAAGTGTTCCCTGACTCAGGTAATAAGACACGAGCACCGGGCTCTCCCCCATCTCTGCGCTGCGTCCCCTCCACCCACTGAACACAGGTCTCAACGGTGCGGGCACCCGGCAGATCCACACCCAGCAGAGCTTGGTCTGGCTGTCCTGAACTACACCCTCAGCAGGACAATATCCTCCAATATCGTCCAATGCATTTGTCACGCTGGGTCGTTTTGGCCGTCTGGGCCCCTCAACCCAAGTAGCCATGGCTGCCCTTACTTTAGGGAGAAGGTGGAACCTGCACGCGAGCAATCAATGTTTAGCTGGTAAATTCCAAAATAATGCCATTTCAGTTGTGAAATGGTCTGAACGCCAAGGCTTTCAGGCTTTCATGCCAGAGCCAGGTAGGCTTTTATGAGATTTGAGAAGTGGGACAGAGGGGTGGGGTGGGGGGGGGGGGGAGACTTCTGGGGCGGAGAGACTTCTGCTTCCAAGGAAGCAGAGCTTGAAGAACTCCAGAGCATAGAGGTTTGTATTACAAGCTGTGGGGAGGGAAGGGCTGTTTCCTGCCACCCAGAGAAGAGATAGGAGCTCTTTCTGGAGTCAGGGAGGAGGCCTGGTGAGAGAAGAGGGCAGGGAAGAAGGCTGAACTGCTCCCTGGATTCCACCCTGGGTGGGGGGTCTTAGCCCCACTTCCCACTGGAACTGTGGGGGAAGGCAGGCCCCCAAAGTGCTCTAGACTTGGGGGCACTGAGCACAGTGGAAATGGTGGGTGGTATCATTAAACAGAGACGGCGTCTGAGGGGGCCACCCTTGGCTCCCCACGAACTGTGAACACGTGTCAAGTCCCGGCAGGAAGTGAGGAAGTGCTGCAGGGGCAGCTGGACCAGAGATGGCCTGGTGGTGGGTACACAGGCTCTGAATGCAGAGATCCAGCAACCCAGAGGCAGAGAGTCAGGCCCCGGACCCAGGCCTGGACCTGGAGTGACAAGTTATCTCAGCTGTGGAAGCAGTTAAGACCCCCGACACGCTTCCCCACCTGCCACTGTGATGTTCCCTAAACTCCCCCTGCACCCAGGCAACCTCTCGGGGTACAGAAGGAGGTAGGAGAGAACCTTGGAGGAAAACCAATAGTCCTTGCAGGAAATTTCAACCGAATGACTAGGTTTAAATCCTGAATTGACAAAGCAATAAATGGATAGTCTGCACTTTCTATTGGAAGAGACTGCATTACCTTGAAATGGCAAGATTACGTTTTTTTCCACCATTAGAAGAAATGGAAAAAAGATTAAATTTTTTTTTTTTGGCCAACAGTAGAAATGGAAAAAAGATTAAGTTGTTTCCGCTATCAGTCTAAATGGAGGCTCGTAAGCAAGTTCAGTTAAAAAGAAATAAAGTTTGTGCCCATTTGCGTGATGGTGTGTGAATTTTCCCTCTCCACAAAAGACAAGTCAGTGTCACCACGGATGGAACCCAAAAGTGCAGGCAGAAAAGGTGACATGTCCTCAGTGAGACCTTTTCAAACTGGACTAGGCACAAACGTGGGCGAGGTGCCTGAGTGCCCAGATCTTCCCGTAATAAAGGAGGGGTCCTACCCAGCACCCCATCTTTGTTGAACACCCACTCCCCTTTCCCCTGGGGTCTTGCTCCACCACCTCCATCTCTATGCTTTCTCGTGCTTGGTAGTTGGCACCTGAAACTGCTGAGAATTTGTGCACGTGAGCTTCTGGCAGCCGAAACCCCAACCCAGTCTTCCTTGTTAAGGCACTAAAACAAAGATTATTTTAACAGCGAAAAGGGAGTGTCCCTGTTAAATATTTATTATTCAAGCTCTGTTCCACCCCATTTGGGGAAGAAAAAAAAAAGAGAGACCCTACCACAAGAACGGTAAGGTGGCCGGTCAGTCAGTACTACATCGGCAACACACAATAGGTCAGGAAATTTCACTTCCCTCTTGGCAATAATGTGGACCGGTTTTTAATAATAATGGGCCCCCTCTTGTTTTAACAGCAGGAAAATTCTTTGGATGCCCTTCCCCCAACCCCGCCTTTTGTTTCCCAAAGTCCCTGCTGCCAAGGGCTACTCACGTGTACGGAATTGCTGGGCACACTTTATTCTGGTAGCGATAGCCCCACAGTGAATTAATTCTGCAGTCCCAGTCAGCTATGGGGATGAAATACTAACCCTCCATTTTTCAGTGAACACCAAGTGCCAGGACAATATTCTAAGTGCCTGTTAGCAGATTTAATTCTCAGAGAAACCCTTTGATGAGGTACCATTATTTCCCCCAATTTGATGGATGGGGAAACCTAGGTTCAAAGCAATTAAGCAGCAGGGCTGATATCTGACCTCCATCTAGGTCCAGAGTCCGTGTTCTTGATCGCCACTTCATGCAGCCACTCTGAAAATTGTTGGCTGGTGAGTTTACACCCACTCAGCTTCTGAGCCAACCCCAGCCAAGGGGATGGTCCATCACCTAGGTTAGAAAGAGCCTGTGGGTCCTCAGCTGGGCAGGCTCCAGGAGTTCCCATGCCTTGGGATGCTCTTTATTTATTATTTCTTTTGAGAAAAATATTGTTTAAAATCTTTTTTAATGAGGTATAATGTATACAGATAAGTGCACATATCATAAGTGTAGAGTTTAATGAATTTTCACAAACTGAAACATCTGTGCAGCTAGCATCAAGATCAAGAAATAAAACTTTAGTAGCATCTTAGAGCTCAGTCATGTTCTTTCCTCTTTAAGAAAGATGTTCTTTCCATCTTAGAGCTCAGTACTCCCCCAAAGGTAATCACTAGCCTGACTCCTAATGCTATACATTAGTTATGTCTGTTTTTTGAGTTTAACGTTAATGGAATCATACAGTATGCACTCTGGTGTCTCGTTTGTTTCACTCAACGTTGTATCTGTGTGGAGTGTGACTAAGTTCTTCATCTTGTTTAATTTTGTGTGTGTGTGTGTCTTTTTGATGTATATAACAATATAGTTCAGTATTAGATCCATATAGTCTATAAATAAAGACAACGTTTGGGGGGATGTGTGAGGAATGCTCTTTAGGAGCATCCTCCACCTAAATCCTTCTCTGATCCTGGAAGGCCTGCCCACATCCCAGCTCGCCCTGCCCATCACTTGAGGGATGTCCTTCAGGTACTTATTCTCTGTGCTGCTTCAAAGTGAGCAACTCAGGCTTCAATCAAAAAATAATAATAATAACCAAACAAAAACAGGTGTCTACTCCAGGTGGTGCACCAGACACTAGAGTGGAAGTGGCATCAGATAAGGCTGGCGTTTCTGCAGCCCAGCCGGCTCCTGTGCTCCCTCCCTCTCTCTCTCTCTGCCATGTGCCAGGACCTGGGAGCCTGTTCTCCAAGGCTGTGTTTCTCATCCTGACTTTGAAGGAGATAAAGGTGGAGGTAGGAGTGGTCAGTGGGGCAGGGGACATTCTTCTCTCCGCAGCACTAAAAATCACAGCTCTTTTGCTGTACTTGAACTTGGCTAATTTCCAGATCACCAAAGGAGCCCACTGTACCCTCTTCTCTGCTGGCCCTGGCTTTGTGGATTTCGTTACCTGGAAGCATTTGGTTGGAGCATCCCAACTGAAAGGCAAGCTACAACCCCCACTCCTAATTTTTGGGTTGGGGTGGGGAAGGGGCTGGAGAGAGAAGGAAAATTCACACAACTGCTGTCCACATGAGTGCCTATCAGGGTACAAGGTATGGAGTCTACGGAAGCTACTGACCTGAGGAGGGCTCTTTGTCTTTTAGTAAATGCCCCAGACGGCTGTGCCTTTTGAGTTTTTGTTCCTGCTTTTTATAGTTTTTCTCTTGCCTCCCTTGTAGTCAGGCTGCGACCTGTCACTTTTTCCTGCCGACAGTGGGCCTTCCGAAAGCAGTCCCCAAGGCCTTTCTAATCTGCTGCTTCCAGTCTGCTGTAGGCTGGGAAATCAGATAACCAATTATGTAACATTAACAGCTGCTGTGTCGTGGGCTCTTGCTCTGCAGCAAGTACCGCGCGTGCCCAGCACCTCTTATTTATGTGATCTAATTTAACCCTTAGAATAACCCTATGCAGTTGGGGTGATACTTCCTGTTCTTATGATGACAGAATTTTGACCCAGAGGTGAGAGCCGGAATTTGGCCCTTCCTCTGACTCCAAAGCCCACTGTCACCAAGACAGGTGACACCTATCTTGGCTGGGTGAGCTTGTTTTCTGCTCACTTCCTGGTCTCAAATCTGGAATGCAGAGGTATTTCCATGACTTCTGCTACCCAGGGGCAGCTAAGGAACAGAGAGGAAGGTACCTGAGAACAGGTAAAATCGGCAATCACCCTGAGACTTACTATACCTGTACCATCTAACTAGAGAGCTCATCTCTTAACGTGTTGGGGCAAAAACACTAACTTGGAACTTTCAAGTCTATTTCTGGTTCACACTCATTCTCAAACACCGAGTGTGCACTATGGGCCAGGCACCATGCCCAACATATTAGACACCATCTCTCTTGAATTAGAATGAGCATATCTGGTTCAAGTTCCCTTCAAAAGGTGTCATTTTTTTTTTCCTATCTAAAATCTCAAGCTCTTGTAGCAAAAATTTTTTTGAAGCTAACACTTCTCCTTGAGCTGACCCAAACAAAGCATTGGTATATAACTCTGATAAATACCACAAAACCCATTTTGTTCAACATCTGTAAGTACTATTTTTGTCCATTTGGTAAGAACATATGAGACAAAAACTTCAGATCCCTGGGTTCTAGCCCTGGGTTAGGTCACCTCTGGGCCCTGATTTCCTTACCTGAAAATTTTAAGTATTAATCTATGGTTAATGCTATGGACTGAATGCTTGTGTCCCCCCAATATTTAGATGTTGAAGTCCTAATCCCCAAAGTGGTGGTATTTGGAGGTGGGGACTTTGGGAGGTGACAGGGTCATGAGGGTGGAGCCCTCATGAATGGGGTTAGTGCCACCCTGTGTACAGACACAACGAGAAGACAGCCATCTGCAAACCAAGAAGAGGGCCCTCACCAGACACCGAATCTGCCGGCACCTTGATCTTGAACTTCCCAGACTTCAGAACTGTGAGAAATAAATGTTTGTTGTTTTAAGCCCCTCAGTCTAGTACTCATTATAGCAGCTCAAGCTAAGACAGTTAAGTAATAAACTAGTAAGTAAAGTCTAGTAAAAGTCTATGAACTACCTTTCTAGAAATAAGAAATCTGTATTTATCCATAGGAGATGTGATTTATTAAAATGACTTGTCAATGGAACTCAAGCTTAATCATTACAGTCTATAAAAATAAGCATGTGTAATTTGTTTTTACCTTGATACCAATCCTCCACCACTTACACAGGTTATATGAGATGGGTTTAACTAGTAAAGTTTGTGCCCACCCCCCTTACAAAGCTTTCCCTTGTGTACGGAGATGACTTTTGCACATTTCTCAGAAGCCACGGCCCATTTACTTAACAAAGTTTCCTGGGAGGTGACTCCTCAACTACAGCCAGGTCCAGTGCTTGTGGGTTGGCTCTGCCACTCTGAACTCAGGAAAAAGGGAAGACAAATGACAGCCTTAATCAGAGGTGGCTTCCTGGCCACTGGCATGGGGATCAGCTTGCAGATGGTGTTTTGCTTGGCCTGCTCCTTGCTTTGTACAGTGTGGATTAGTTGACAGTATTTTAAAAATAAGGAGATTGCACATAAATATATGATCTCTGGCTTCTCTCGGAAGATCATAAAGGCTGGCTACCCTAGGTCCACATTCTCAGGCAAAGCGGCTGCTGTTTGCACAGGGCAAGTGTTCTCTAGGTGGCTACAGACTCCTCCGCCTGTGGTGCTCCTAGGTGGCTACAGACTCCTCCGCCTGTGGTGCTCCTGACTTGGAGGTCTGTCGTCAGACATCTTTCACTGGCCTGGCACTGTTTTCTTACACCTTCCTACGTCTCTCATTCCCATGATCTGGCATCAGGGTTTGCACCTGAGGCCACACCCACTCGACAAGCCCAGGAGGTATCACAAACAAGTCCAGGATTCCAACGAAAAGTCCTCTGGGATTGTGGTGCATGGCTGCCCTGTTTGTAATCCCTGGAAACTGACTTCTACTGGCTATTTTTTTACTATTTAGATAACGTTGTTTTAAATTTTAGCTTAAAGACCAAGCATACCATTGTAGAACATACACTAAGATTTTTAAAAACGCATTTGAGACAATATAACCATTTCAGCCAAGAAGTATTAAAATTCCTACAACTAAGTTAGAAATTACGTCCTACAGGCTTTTCAAAAACTCTTTTTGCAGACTATTTAGAAGAGTTACAGGAAACCATTCCCTGCAGCGAGAAAACCTTTCTCTCTAAAGCTTCCTTGAGATGAAAAATAAAACAAGGACTCTCCCCCTTTCGCACATCGATGGCTACTGATCAACCATACTCATCAGAGTTCACATTTTAAGTTTTAGTAACATTTTTTAAAATACAGAAAATATAAAAATGTTCAATCTGCACTTTTCAAATTTTTACGAATGCTGAGCACTCGGCAAAGATAACTATTGCACCCACAGAATTTAGAGCTGGCAAAGAAACTTGGAATGTATTAAGTCCAATCACTTCATTTAGGGACAAGTAGAAATCAGTCTAGAGATGTTAAGAAACTCTTCCCAAAGTCACACAGCGAATAAGTGCTAGAGTCTGAATTCCAACGTGGGGCTCCTGTTTTTTGCTTATTTCTCTTTGCCTATAACTCTGACTCTGAACCACTATCGATCATATACAGAAATGGATATTGGGGGAGGGCTGGTGGCAGGGGGAAAAAATAAAAAAACAAGAAAAAAGTGGAAAGAACAGAAGACAAAAAATGAAAAATAGCTGCTGACTGAGCAATCATCATTGCCACTGCTGTGTGAAATTTTAATTTCCTCTTTGGAAATTTAGGTTAAAAATACATCTATTTCTATTTACAGAGTGCTCGTCTTCTTTAAGTTTCACACTTCACACTTTACTTTTGAATACACGTTTATTTTCTAATGTAATCCTAGAGATTTTACTCCGATGAGGGGAACGACTTAGGCTCTCAACATTATATCCGAGCCCCCTCAGAAGTGTGAAGGCATTTATAAAAGTCTCTTTGTACCTACAGGGAGTTAGAAAGTCTTAATATAAGCCATTTGAGAGATTTATTTTGCCTCGCTCTGAAAGGCCTGTAGCACACATTTGGAAACCACATTTGTTCACTCATCCCAGCCTTCCACATTCTTACCGTCCATCTCAGTTTGGTCCATATTAACCCTCAGCTGTGATTATATAAAGTGGTGCTCTCTTTAAGAACAGCAGTGAAAATGAAAACCTTCACAAAGAAATGAGTTGATTGAAAAAATGTAAAAGATACTCTGTCTTCTAGTCTTTACCTTTAGAATTCAGCAAGCGATAACTTACCCAGGGTAGGGAAGATACTTGAGCATAGGTCACAAGCTCCTATACTATTTTCCTCAAAACCAAGGGTTTTCTGGGAACGGCCCAGGCACGCATTTTAGCACGAAGACTTTTCTCGGCCTCCCTTTCTCTTTGGGGACACAGAGGCAGCACACGCTGCGGAGGCGTCATGACCCCACACTCAGGGGCTTGGACAGGCGGTGGTTTCTCCTAGCCAGGGCCTAACTTGGATTTTTGTCTGCAATCCATCATTTCAAGATGTGATTTCCAACCCCCCCCCACCCCTTCTCCATTTCTGGCTCACTTCATTCATTCTCCTAAGTACCTAGAAATGATATTATCAAAGATTCCATCTCAGTCCCACAATGGATTCTGCCTAATTGATCTATGTCCTTTCATCTCCCTTTTTTTTCTTTAGAAAGAAGAAATGATGAAGAAAATGTTCTTGGAATTCACTTCTGGCAGAGTCCTGTGAGCTTTGCTTTAAATTGTTAGTGAAATGCTTGACATTTTTCCTTCGCTTTATAAACATTATGTGCAAATCATTCAGAATCCTAATGGAAGGTAATTTCCCATTAACGCAGGCTATAAAAATGCCATTTTCTTCTGAAACTGTGCCTTAGAAACAAACAGTACAAGATCTCTGCACATTTGCAAATTCTCCCCACAAATCAACGAAGCCCGATGCTGAAATGGGGACGAAAGCTACCACCAAGGGAACTTTCTAGAGGCAGCCTAGAAAAGGCAGAGGCATGTCATGGAGTTTGCCGCAATGGAGAATCCAGTTGTGGACACTGAGCCTTCTTAAAAGCCATCTTTGGCACATCTGTGATCTCTGGCCGACAATCACCCTTCTAACAACTTAATCTGCCTAGGGACTGAGCTACTGGCCAAGAAGGAGGGGACGTAAGCACTGACACGCACAGTCTGGATGAGGAAGCCAAGGAACTCACTGTCCTATCAGTGTTTCCTTCTTCCAAGTCAGATGAATACAACAGACTCCCTTTGCAACCACTTGCTGACCCAATTCCCTCTGATCAAGAATCTTGGAAAGAAATCATTCCCGATGCTCTTGAACATTCGCTAACATTTCCCAGTATTCTTTCTTAAAGATATAAAATAAAAAATCTATAAGGTGAAGTGCCCAGCTCTGCTACTTACAGGCTCTGTGACCTCAGGGAAATCTCACTTAACCTCTCTGAGCCTCCACTTACTCATCTGTAAAATGGACATAATAATGGTACTAGAAATGTGTCTGAAGTATTTAATACATGACCTGACCCCTAGTAAGGACTCAATACGTGTAACTGCTATATTGTTAAATTATTATTTATTACTGCTCTATTTTTTATCACTTCCTTGCAATATTGTTACGAGTATGAAATGAGTTATGTATATAAAGCATCAAATAATAATACCTGGCTTATTCCTGGTACTCAAATGCTATGTCCTTATGCCCGTAAATGTTACTTTAATTAAAATACTTTTTTCATTTTTATTTTATGCCAGTCT